AATTTGACTAAGAATGAACGACATTCTTGAAGTTTATCGTATTTCTCTGGTTGTCACTGGTATATTTTCAGGGTTATTCTTCTTTCTTACACCTTCTTCCTCTATACTTTATTTCAGATTCTTCTGATTCTTGACTATCTCGATTTCAGATTTTTTACTCTCTTGCACTTCATTCGTGGGAAGTTTATATTTTCACAGTCTTTAAATTACCCTCAGCCATGTCCTCTTCCTCTCTATACTGCTATTTGGTTTCCATCTCTTCCGCTATCTTCAATCCATCAGAGATGTTTCCCTTTCTCTGCTACTTTCTCTTGGTTTGTCATAGGCAGCAGTGGCAGGAAGTTATCATGAAGTCACACTACTTTCTCAGCATTAAGGATGCAATCACTGATGGTTGAGAAGCAAAAGGAAGCCTGTGAGCAGACGGCGAAAGCAGGGCAGGCCCTGCAAACCCTTGTGAACTCTACGAAAATTCTTCAGAAGCAGGTAGGTAACTTCCTAAGTATGCTTTTCTAGTGCTTTCAAGAAAACAACATCGTGCCTGAGTTTTTTTTTCAGTTGGAGGAGGAAATTTCGAAAAAGTATGATGGAAGGCGAGTGAACATCATGGGTGGCATAACTGCAGCCATTGCTGGTCGGTAATTTCAACGTCCATGGAACTGACCAGTGTGGTCCGCGTAATGTTTTCGGGAGAATCAAGCTGCTGTCATTTTTTACCTGCTTTCGGAGTCTTTTTCTTCATTGCGTTTTCATACTTTTTGTTTGAAGGCAGTGGGCACGATTGCTGGAGGCGGGCGGTTGCTGCCAACGTCATTGGTGGAAGGGCTGCGAGAGGGCGTTTGGCCACACCCCATTCAGCCCTTCCACCAATGACGTTGGCGGCAACCGCCCGCCCTAGCCATCGTGCCCACTGCCCTTATTTTCACTTTCTAATGAGGGGGTAACTTATGGAAGTTTTTTCTTATCTACGCTTGATGTGATACTATACTGTTTGTGATATCTGTTCTGTATGTTTATTTGAATTCTCTGCATCGTGGCCATTGTTGTTATTTTTTGTTATACGGCGCGTGTTTTTCTAGTTCCATAGTAGTAGCTCGAGTAAAATATTAAAAATTAATGGTAATCGCTCATGAAAAAATGAAAATTTGCGTTGGGAAGCTTTGATTCAGAAGACGAGCCATATGGTTTTTTTTGCTTTCGTAAAGTTGGAACTTTAGAGGAACTCTTGAACAGCAGCGGAGAGCCCCCTTCTCTTACAAAGAACCTTCACCGAGGATTTAGCTTTTGATAGAAAAACTTACTCCTTCGAGAGCGATGGGAATAGCGACGCTGTTTGCTTCGGTGAAATGGGAGTCTCAGGACTTCTGAGTCAAATGGTCTTACGGAAGGAGATATAGGTATTTTGTGCGGTCTCATTCGAGAAGGTTCTCAAGTTCTTTGGGTCAGGGGTGGGAATTTGAGCCGCTGTAAAATGACATTTTAGTTACAGGGCTGCTGTCAACAGGGAATGCTCTCCCTGCGACTGGCGGGTAATTTTCTCATGTCTACACAGCCCCAACATTGAAGGAGAAGCGAAGGAGAGGAAGGGAGAGAGATGGAGGGAAAGAAAAAAGAAAGCGGGAGGGAGGGTCCGCGGTTGACAAGTGTCGTGAGACGGAATTTTCTGTATAGTGGTTAAGACATTTTGGGTGAATGAGGGCACGCTCTGACTCTAGTCGTCCGAGCTCTCACGGTTGAGCCTAGACGAATAAGGAGAACAACTATCTCAAACTCGAGGGCTACTTCCGCACCTGTAGGCACGTCACTAGTCTGCGCCCACGCGTTTCTCTGGAAAGAAGCGTTCGCTGCGAAAAGCTTTCGATACGTATCGATAGGCGTAGAGCCGAAGACGTATGGCGTTTGGCGAAACGACTCGATACGTATGGAACGGCGTTTCGCGAACCGCGCATTTTTGCTGCACTTCCACGAAACGCTAGGCTCGAACCGCCCTGAGCATTTTTTCGCCAGCGAAATCGATACACCATCTCTGCTTTTCCGCTCAACGGCCAAACCGCGGGCGTTCGGCCGAAACCGGCTTTTGCGATCTCTCCGATCGACGTGCACATATTTCGCTTTTCGTGCCCAGGACCGCCGTCGCAAGCGTGGACAATCGCCTTACCGGACAGGGGTCCCTCCATCTCCATATAGTGCGGCGAACTCACATGACTGTTCGGCGATAGTGGGACCGTAGCGCTGTGCCTTGCCGCATAATCAATCAGTGCCTCACTTGGGCACGTTCATAGTTCGCGACAGGCAGCGGCGATCGCCGGCCGATCGCAAGTAGGGCGAGGACCAGCCTCGCCCAAGAAGATGGACGGATTGAAAACTTGGCTTGGAAAGTATTTTCATGCTGTTTTTCTTTCTCAATCGCCCACTAGTACTCTCAGTGAGGGGGTTATTTGATTAATAAGTGGGGTGCAGTTAAATAATAGGCTTCTAGATCGAGATATCAGCCCGGTTTAAAATTTCACATAGTTTTCACATTATCCTACTCCGACTGGCCAGTGGATGTTTTGGGAGTGTGGGAGTGAAATACTAAGTTCATGAAGAAATGTGAATTTTTGAAGTGCGCGAGTCAGGGGGCGGGCTTGTGACATAACGGAAGGGGGCCGGTCGGTGCACCACAGTGGGACCGTGAGCCCCCAGGCGGACCTAATGCACACTCCTACTGAGTCGGAGCAGGAAACCCTGAATCGGGAGGTGAAAGGCGTTATGCAGAAGTTTAATGGGGGCGGATTCAGGGAGCGGAGTAGGGCGCAGTCGGGGAAGGTAGGGGAGGTGATACGTCGAAGAGATTAGGCGGAAGAAAGAAAAAACCGCATGAAAATACCTTTCCAACAAGTTTTTCAATACCGTCCATCTAGTTGTGTTGGGGCGAGCTGGTCCTCCTACTGGCGATCGCGGCGATCGCCGCTGCTGTCGCGAACTATGAACGCTGCCTTAAGACAAGGGGCATGGACATTTTGCGGCATCCCTCGACTTGCTTTTGCACCCACCACACACGATGGCGCCTGTTCCGCATTCCTCTAGAATAGGACGAGAAGCTTTCCTGGCCGTTAATGATTGAAGGGAAATGTTTGCAGTGGTTCTCAACACTTAGACAAAGAATCTATACTGGATTAGCTCCTGCAGAAATAATAAAGATATTGACCAGTATCCTCACAAGTAATACCCTAATGCGCAGTGAAAGGTGACACTTTCCCCGTCTGACAAAGAGCGATGCGTGCTCACCGTCTGGTGTCTAACCTTGCAAGTGAGACGTCAGAGGAAAGAATGTGATTGCACTTCCACATGCTAGCTAGATGCCCTTGCACGCAAGCAGATTTCGTCATCGGAGCGCGGTATAAAACGTGACTCATAGGGTGACAGATAACGATTCTCCTGTTCTCTTCTGTTTTTCTGCGCCACTTTCTGGAACAGTTTTCTCTTATTCCGTTTCTAGTTCTGCAATTTTGTCTAACAGCGGCGGTCTGGATGGGTCTTATAAGTTCGGGCATCGGGTATGTAGAGGCAATTCCTTCATTTAATGCAATTTCACTCTTTCTCCAATCATGTCCAAGGGCTGTAGAGAAGTCGATCTAAATGGGATACAAAGCACATTTTGTCCATTTTTGTATGAACGCTTCTTTTTCTCGATTTAGGACTTCTGAGCAAGAAAGTCTAAGAAAGTCCAGGCGATGGTAAGCTCCACTTTTTGGCCCTTGCTCAGTTCTTGTTATACACAGCCGGAAATTTCAACTCGGAATATTTCGTCTTTCAAGCTAGGGGTGTGTAGTAACTATTACAAGTGATGAAATGTGGTCACCTAGTTCAAAAATGGCATTTAGACCAAAAATAGCATTTCAACAACCTTGTTCAAAATCGTCTACACTAACGAAACGAGAAGTTCCCGAAGCACCATATTGCGTGGACGCGCTTCTATAGGACAGTTTTTGATCCATGAGGAGAAGTGTAATGACGACCTCTCGTCACCTTCAGTCCTTCCAACTAATTTGTTTACACTCCTCCCCCCACCTCCCATCATCCTATCTCCTTACCAAAATGTCATAAGCAGAAGCGACCCTGCCAAAGATGTCGCTCGAAGCGACCCTATATTTCTGGTTGAAGTGCCCTTTCTGACCCTAGACAATATGAATTGGAGCAAACTTTTACTGTCAACGGCACTAGCATTCCAAGCAAAAATACGTCTGAAACAAAAGTCTTTCTTTGTTCCTGACGCCCAGAAACGGTCGGAAATGATCAAAAAAAGACGTCAATTACTTGAAAGACGAAAAGGTGGGCGCAGTTCGGCTTGGGGAGGCATTTCGTACTTCCTGGCTGCCTCTCGTTGACGAGAATTTCCTACAAACATTGACTGGTGTCACTTCATATGTTCACAAGTTTCACAAATCTCTACTTGTTGGCTCCGAACGGCGGCAACGGGAAGCAGCGAGTGTGCGAGGTTCCCTTCCCCCCCCCTCCCTAAACTGTGTCGCTTTTTGCACCTTTCGAATCGTTCAAGTTTCTCGAAGCGGCATTCTGAGGCATCACTTTACTGCTTAATAATCCGTTCCAATTTTGTTAACATTACGGTTTTTAGTGAAAAATGTCAATCAGTTGGGGTGCACAGTATCCGAAATTGAAAACAAATCTCCGATTGGCCATCAATCGACTGAAATTGATGGGCAAGAAGAAGACAGAAATGGCTATGAAAGCTCGGACAGAAATAGCTGAGTATATATCAGGTAAGGAACTTTAGGAGTTCGACTTTCTTTCTGCGCATATTTTTGGCGTTGTATAAGTTGATTTCGCTGAAGTCTTGAGTTTTCTTGACCATTAAGTCGTTGTTGGCGGACTCAGCACTACTTACCCGTTACGACTCCATTCCAAAAGCTCGAGCTAAATTTTTGTTGAAATTTCTCCCTGAGAGTAGATTTGGTCAGAAGTTACCCCAAGCAGCGAATTCCAGAGAATTTCGTGACTAGGGCCAGTGTGGAAATGAACGGCTTTTCTTTGGCCCAGGCTTCCTCATGCAGAACGATTACAGTCGTTTCCGCTGCATACGCTGGACGTGTTGAGGGGGCTGCGTTCAGCGAGGCACCGGCTTGTTCCCCACCATTTGATGAACTCAGCAAGCGACAACAACTGAAAGAGAGCTGGCTGGCGCCACGTCAAATTCAGCCACCCCTCCAACATACCCTGCGTCTGCAGTGAAAACTATTGAATGTTATTTGTTCTCAGTGGTTCGGACTTGGCTCTGGAGCAGTTCTGGCCAAACCTGTATTTCGCATCAGAGCAAGTCGTCGCGTTGTGAAGATTTTTTGATTGCGAAAAATCACCCTTCCCCCTCCAGGTTTCCTTCTTTGATTGACCCTCCTCCACAGCTCCATTTCATTGGCTGCATTCCATCTTACCAAACTGTCACGACATTTTGCCGCCGTGCGCTCCACCAGTAACAGGGATATATGTAGCGCGTGTGAAACGGAAAATCAACGTTGAAATAGTTTTTGTCGAGGCCAAAGAAGACCCCTCCCGCAGCGGACAAATGTGGCCAGTCTCGTTGTGTCTTACACATTGATGCTGTGCCCCATGTCAAATATTGGGATTGTGAAGGGTAAACGGTGCTGCGACCGAGAATTTTTGGGTTTATTTCGGCACTGTTCGGCTTGGTGGGGACCTTTCTCTGGTTCCTATCGATCGCTGCAGACATCCCCCTGTGAGAGACCTGTAAACATCTGTAATGCTATGTAATAGCATAAGCTTCGTTTACACCTGATAAAAGTCTAAGTCTCACCAAGATGAGACGTGTCCCAACAGGAACTAGCAAAAAGTCCCAGAAAAATTGCAAACTGCCCCTCCCAAGCTAAACGCCGCCGTTCACTTCATTTTCTCAAGGCACAAGTGCTTCGATATTTGCGTGCTCACATATTATCATTATAGCAAACAAAGCTGATCGAGCACGAATCCGCGTTGAGCACATCATTCGAGAAGATTATCTCGTAGAAGCTTTCGAAATTCTGGAGATGTATTGCGATCTACTTCTGGCGAGATTCGGTTTGATAGAGCAGATGAAGTGAGTTTTTGTTATTCACCTAGTCGAGGTTGTATCTGAAAAATAGCTTTATAACCATGCTCCTTAGGACCTTGGATGATGGCATTGCAGAAGCCGTGATCAGCATAATGTGGGCTGCCCCACGGATAGCTACGGACATTGCGGAATTCAAAGGTGGGATTGGTAAAATTTCCAAATTACGATTCTTTCATAAAATAGTCTTACAGGCTATAAGCGACCAACTCACTATAAAGTACGGAAAACCATTTGCTGAAGCTGCTCGAGCAAACCAGTTGGAATTTCCAGCCAAAGTTTCGCCGAAGTTGATAGCCAAGCTCTCTGCGGCTGCACCGCCAAAACTGTTGGTGGAGAGGCAAGTCTGAACCTTTTCTTCTTCGCATGCGTTGAAGCGTTTTCAGTGAGTGCACGTGGTGTCATTGAAGCTGTGATATCCCTTTAAATTGTTGCTTCGCGGTCAAACTCTGCATCGGGGTCATCTTGACACTATTTACCTTTTACTGCCTCACTATTCGAAATTTAGGTCAGATTGACCGAAATTTTGAAGGAGATTTGGTAGGAGCTACAGTCCTCATCATTGCGGACCGGTGGGGCGTGGCAGTGCGGCTGCGTTTGGTGCGGTTTGGCAAAGTCGTTCTGCACCAGTTTTTGAAGCGGGCAAGTGCATTACTGTATTATATCCTTCGTATTACTCGTTTTCGCATACGCGTTGCAACAAAAAGGCTGAGAACGGCTTCAACAGTGTGCGCACTCCTTCTGGCTGACACGCCCCACCGGTCCGCAATGATGAGGACTGTATGTGTGCAGAGTAGCTTGAACTACCTTCCACTAAGTGGTGCCCGGCGTCCACTGCACGGGCGCCAGTGCCACTGTTGCTTATGGTGTCCGCGCTCATAGCATATATACCAGGCGCTTTTATAGCGGGCTAATGCAGTATTCGTGCTCAGGCATTGTTCACAGTCTGCGGCCCAGCGTTTCTCTGGAACGCAGCGGTTCGGCGAAAAGCTTTTGATACGTATCGACTGGCGGTTGGGCGAAAGGGTTTTGATACGAATCGACGGGCGTTTCGCCAAACCGCGACGTTTTTCGCCTTCGACGAAACGCTAGCTCGATCGCCCTGGCGTTTTTCGCCAGCGAAATCGATACGCATTTATTGCTTTTCGCCCAACCGCCGAACCGCGGCGGTTCGGCGAAACTAGCGGTTGGCGATTCTCCGATCGATGACTATTTTTTGCTTTTCTCCCAACCGCCGTTTCGTCAGGGTCGCAGACTGTGAACAATGCCTCAGGGGGAGGGGGGTGGTCAAAACCCTGGGAACGAGTTTAACGAGTTTGGTGAGTGTTCCAGTGTTAAGGCCCGGCTACTTTGGGCGGTCGCCAGACTGTTTTGGGTGGAGTGAAAGCCTTTATTCGGGTCCAGGAGGCCGGTCTGACCTTGGGTCAGAAGTCTAACCATATCTACCCACGGTGAAACTTTGGCGAAGATCTGAACGGAATTTCGAAGAGTGTGGCAGAAAAGCTTTATATGCCGTTATCTTCCTTTATCCGCCCCTCCCCCCCCTCCCGCCACTTTCCTCTGTAGTACGACCCCCTTTTTTTTGACTTATGCTTATTCGGTGCGATAAACCGTCTATTAGTAAAATTGTGAACTTACTTATTAGAAAAAGGAGTATGTAGAGGAAAAAACGAGGAAAATCAGCAACAAAAGACTTTTTCGTCAACACATGTGCGATCGCTTCTCCCCCCCCCCTTCCTCCAGTGACTCCCTAGATTGTGCACCACCACACCGCCTTACTCCTCATTCATACTAATACGGTATAAACGTGAAACATACTAGCTTCTCCTAATCTCAATTGTTTTTGGACTCCTTCAGGCCCTGACGAAGGCGAGGAAGCCGAAACGTTGGCCAATAAATTATAAAAATCTTGGACGGCTCAAACTATCCACCTGCTTGAAGATACTAGCTTCTCCAATTTTCAGGTACATGATAGAGATAGCGGCAAGCGCTGGTGTGCCGTTTGTGCCAGACCCCGATGTGATGCGAGACGATGAAGTTGCTCAAGCAGAGAAAATGCTTATCGATTTCAAGCAAGCTGGTGCCACAGGATTCAATGGTGGACCAACTGTACTTCCACCGCCTCCACCTTCTTCGACAGATGTGAGAGGGTTCTAATAATGCTCTTAATCTAGATGACTGAATTTTATTTAGTTTGAAAGTTTGGATTGTTCTCAATAAGCTTGTTGGTGCTAGTAACTTTGTAGAGGAGGGAGGCATTCGAGGGAATTCTTGCGCTCAATTGGAGTTACCGTAATTATGATAAGGGTTTCTTGCCTAAGCTTTAACGACAGTCCCGCGATCAAGTGATCCGCGTAATGTCTGGGGTATTTGATGTCTTTTTATCGAATGTATTATTTCTATTCAAAGCTGCCGCCTAATAGAGCCACTAGGTGCCAATTCAGCCCTAACAGGCCCCAACTTGGAGCTAACATCTTTTTTCTACCAAATGCGGAATAAACTTGTATCTGGCTTCGTTCTTACTGACATAGCATTTATTTTTAACGCCGGCCACAATCGATGCCCATAGGCGTTATTTTGGCGCCGTAAACTTGTATAGTTTATCTCTAGCGACGAGCGAGAAATATAACGTCGTACTAAGGCATTTTACAAAAGTGGGCGGAGCTTTCACAAAAAGGGAGGAGCCTCTCACGGTGGATGGGGTTACTGGGCTCTTGCTAAAAAATTTGAATGAATAGTTTAAAAATTTGCCAAAACCTGCAAAAACTATCTGATCCAGTATGTGAAGAGTAGGTCTGAGGGCGAGGTCTCGAGAAAAGGCTATGGAACTTCGAAGTTTACAACAAACGTGTTAAAAAGTGGGCGGAGTCGCCTATATATCGGTATAGACGTCTATGATTTGTTGTAAACGTGTGAAAGAGCAAAAATGTAAAAAAGCCACAGAAACTCAAGTTTTGGTATGAAAAATCACCATCGCGCCAAAAAGTAGGCGTGATCACAGAGGCGGGGCTTAAGGCAGAGTGGTCAAGGATGGTAAGAATAGCACTCCTTGCAGATTGCTCAATAATTTCGCGTAGTTTGGCGGAGCGGCCAAAAGGTGGTCCACGAGGGACAAGATAAGCCACCGGTGGCTCATATCGGAGAGCGAGAAACCGCCATTGTTCCACGCGGTGCTTTTCGTCAACGCGATTGTCGTCGAAGTTCAGGGAGGGGGGAGCTCCGTGATAAAGGTATTCTTGAAATGCGCTTGATACTCAAAAGTTGCTGGCGCCGAATCCGCTAGTAGAAATCACCACCAATGTCACATTTCAACGACCTTTAAGAAGAGAATACGAGAATTTTCAAGTTTCACTCCATATTAATATTTCCAGGGTCTAGGATATGGTTGGAATCTTCCTCCAGGTGCGGGCGGTGGTCCACCGCCACCTTTTCCACCAAGTAATCCCCCACCCCCACCTCCAGGTGATGATTTTGGAGGCGGCAATGGAGGTAACGCCTAATATCGTTCCGCTGTTCTATAGTTTTGAGTTCAAAGTTCCGTTTACTAGGTCACATCTACGAAGTGCCAAATATGCCGCCTCAACGTGACGACTTTAGCACTCCGGCTCCCAACTCTGCGTGAGTAGCTTTTCATTTTCACCCCAAAATAAGCTTTGAACATTTAGTAGATGATTGAGAAATGGAAAAAAAATCTATGTCTTCCAGACCGCCAGCAGGCATGATACAGTTGCCCAAGATCGGTCCAAATGGTTTACCTATTTACCCGGGTCAAGATGGTCCTACGTATCCAGTACTGAGCCAAAGGGTATGAATTAAATTGATCTGTTTTCGGTGTCAACTGTTTACTAGCTACATTTGAGTAAACCTTACAGTCATGGGCATGAGAACAGGACTACAAAAATTTCTGAATATTCAAGTTTCCTTCATGTTTATTCACAAAATAATCGGAAGATCTTCGTTTACAAATTGCACAACATTTTACCGTTGTTTTAAATGTATCACAAACAGCGCCGGCGTGTTTTTCAGGCCAAGACCTAAGTGATTCCTACATCTGCGATGTGGGCGCGGTTTGGCTTGATGGGGGCATTTTGCTGGTTCTCATCAGTCGATGCCTTCTTCGGAGACCTGCGCGACAGCAAGAGCTTCGTTCAAACTTGACGAAATTCTATAGGTTCCACTAAAATGAGATGTGCACTTCAAGATGAACAAGTAAAAGCAACTAGCGAAAGTGCAAAATGTCCTCCCCCCTCCTTTTTTCTCTCCTCTAACGAACAGCGTCAAAATGTGGCTATTCTTCGAAACCTTATGTCTTCCAGGTTTTCTTTCAAGAACTGTCGCGGACATTTCTGTGTCGTCGAGTGTTTCATCTTGGTTCACATCCCATTTCTTTAGGTGATGTGTTTGTCCCAGGAGAGCCACTAAATCATCATGGATTCATGAGAAATCCTAGAAGTTTCTGTAATTTGTCAGGCTCGCAGATCATTCCAGAAAAGGAAGAGACAATTTTGGGTTGAAAAAAGGGCTTTTTCTTCACTCATTCGTCTTTCACGTACATTCTCCTCTCCAGGGAGTGGTTTCAAGTTCTCATGGGACTTTGAGTGGGGACAGAATTATGCAGATTTATGACCATGGACTTTGGAAAGCTGGTTGCTGTTGTGGTGACCGAAATTGTCAAGTGAATCTCACGCGCGAATCGTAATCTGGTTCGATGCAGTGAATGGGCATGTCAGGCGATGGTTCTGGCCCGGCTCCAAACCGGTTCTCTATAAGTTCCTCCTGAAGCGGGTAAACGGCAACAGTTGGCGGAAGAGAACGTATAAGAACGATATGCTACAGTCATGGCGCTTGCTCGCCTCAACAGGTGGTGGGAAATGGATTTGGCGCCGCGCCAAACGCTGCGCGCTGACACGCGCCGTCACCGCAGCGATCATTACTGTAGAAGTGATTGAAGTCACCAAATTTATGGATCATTTGTCCGCTGGCCATCTGTAGGGTGGGAGCCAAGCGTTGTCGCCCAAAGCCGAAATGGTATTCGTGTAAGAGATTACAGGGCCCTGGGAACGAATTTCTGCGCGATTGAAGGTCTAGAGTTTGAGTATGGGCTACCTTTGCAGTCCATCATTGGCAAGCAAGAATATTGTGCCCTTCACCAGGCGCTGGATGGTGTTTCTTTAATCAAGAGCACGGTTATAGCGCCTAACCGAGGTGGAACAGGCCGACGAACGCCCACTATAACCGCACGCCCACAAATGGCGGGACTGTCACATCGACGCTGGTACTTTTATCGCTTCATTTGTGAAGTACAATTGATACGAAGTATTGCTACATAGATCTACGAATACATATGTGTAGCAGCCATACCTGTCAAGGCGGTTCTGGGCGCGATATCAACGGGAAACTCGTCCAAAAATGCTCGTCCAATGCCGTGCAAAACAAAAATTTTTTGGGCGTTGGACTTCGCTTTTCGATCAGTTTCCTGCTATACACATTGTCCTAATATATAGCACTTCTGATACAATTATTGAGCGTTTACCATTTCATGGTGCCTTAGGCTTTAGGTCTCCATTCAAAGTTCAGTGGGAAGTTGAAGTCATTCCATAGCAACCCCTCCCCTCCCCCTTCTCGTCCTTCGTTTCCAGAACGCAGACAGAGAAAAACGGTGTTGGAAATCACTTTAGGATAGCCTAGCTTCATTTGTCATCGTGACGTAAAACTCTATGAAGGGAATGGAAAATCAATTTGTGAATTCATCCAGCAAAGCATAGTTCTTTTAATGGAAACGTGACGCACACGAATATTTGGTTAGCGTCCCTCCCATCGTTGCACGTCTTCGAAGGGCGTCGAAGCAAATAGTGGAAATCGGCCAGAATTGTACTGGAGCTTTTTTTTCTGCCTGCTAGTCCTTTTCTTAGCAGTGCAAGTGAAAAGGGAGAACGTATAGGAATAGACAGTGCTGAATGGGGAGGGGCAAAATCCAGTGCTTGCTGAAAATTTGGGTTCCGTTGTGGTAATGCGCAGCAGGGATAGGACTGGATTCCCTAGTTAAGGAAAATCATGCTCAATAATCGCCAATATTCCTGCCGGCGGTTGTGGTATAGTGGTGAGTGCTGATCACCATGCAGCGATCAACTTCCGTGTCAGCTGGTGTATGGGCCAGGCAGGCGAACAAGCCGCAAGTATCCCTCCGGAGTTGGTAAATTCAGTGTGATAAATAATGACAATCCCATTGGTTGACCTGGAAGTCATTGTTTGGGCCATAGCACATTCAGAAGCTGACTCTGAGTGGAAGTGGAGGACATGGCGCACCCCGAAAAGACACTGATCAGCCGGAAAGACCTCCATCCTCCGAGCTTCAGCTCGGATCTCGTTTTGCTTTACAAGGATCACCGTTTCATTATCACACTAGAACTGAGTTGGCTCAGTGCTGATCGAGATGTTATGACATCTCAAATGTGTCCACCCTCACTGCTGACTCAATCTGATCCCCTGTAACTGCTTTATTCTGTTGTTTTGCACGTTCTCTATTTGATTGTCAATGTCCGCGATCTCGGAAAATTGCAGAATCTGCGAAATATGAGGTATTAGGAGAAGGAACAGGAGAATTATAGAATCTATGGAAACGTATAAATAAGTACCGATCTCGACTCTGCGTTTGAGTATTCCATGATAATAAGCGATTATCCTATTCTCCTGATCCTTGGTTCGTAACAACCCTCCATGGATTCTCAAAGTCTCCCGGACTCGGAGGTTGCAGAGTGTGAACTAAACCTGAGCAAATGGAGTTGGGAAGAACACGATGCAGGGTAGAGGTCACAGGCCGATACGAATTTTTTCTAGGGCGTACTTCTAAGCCGGGTTCCACGGCAGGAGTTTCACAGTGCAAGTTTTTAATTCTTGGTGTCAAAAATAAGCGACTCTCACGGGATGTTGGTGTTGAAAGTAAGTGGCTCTCATGAGATGTTGGGCTAGAAATAAGTGGCTTCCATGGGATGTTGGTGCAAGAAATAAATGGCCCTCATGAGAATTCCGGGAACGAGCTCTCGATCTGTCTGTAGGTTTAAGGAGTTGGACGAGCTTTTCGCAGTTGCTGATATCGTGAAAATTATCGAAGGGGCTCGTTGGATAGCCGGAGATCAAAAAAATCATGTATGTTGTCTCAATTCATGGTATCGAACGATAGTGGTAACAAGAATATGTACCACTTTGTTATCAACAGTTCCTCTGCGGCTCATTTGTCCGTTTGGGGCGGGATTACTAATGTTTAGGACCAATAACGTCGTTTCCGAGTTGCCAGGAATGACATATCTAGTAGCAGAACGTTTTACTTGCAGAACCATCGTGGAATTTGCCTTGAAGCTGGTCCCTCCTTAAAATCACCAACTCTTACCTCGTTGAAGCTTATGCCAGTTACATATGAATTGGAAAACCCATGTCTTCTCGACTTATGTGGACCGCTAGTTGAGGCTTACAATCCATATTTCAAAATTGAGAGGGCGTGGCTACGTACCTCATGGCTGCGCTGACACTTTTGATGGAACCCTCTCGTTTTGGGCCGTTATGATCATATCTTGATCCAGAACAAAACTGGAGAACAATTGTTTCCAATGGGAATATCCCGTGAGAAAGGCTCGTATGCCATGTTCAAGTGGCTATGAGCCTTCCTCGCGGGATACTCTCCCATTGGAAGTGGCTCACAAGTCACACCCATTCCATGTAGGATATGGAGTGTGGATATGCTTGATGGAAGGGCTCGCATAGGAATGTTGTGATCCCTACTTCATGAAGGTAAAGGTTTCGCGTTGATCATAAGGGTGGAATATATATTAGGTTGTCCGGAAAGTTCTCAGCGTTTTGTGCACCTATTTTTTGTACATTCACTGCTGATTAAAAACTCATTCTGCCTTGCTTCTCAGTAGCACATCCTGTAGAGAATTTCTTGCGCTATCTGATGGTATAATTGCCGTTTCACCATTGCTTGATAAACCCCTTTTTTAAGATTTTTTCAAGCATGTGAAAAGAGCACTTCGGACGATTTTTTTCTTCGACTATAAATTGGGGCAATCCGCAATCGAAACAGCTCAACAAATTAACCAGGTGTGGGGGCCCAATAGTGCTAGAGAAAGCACTGTGCGGCAATGGCTCAACAAATTTCGTTCTGGAGATTTCAGCCTTGAAGATGAACCTCATAGCGGTCGACCTAAAGCAATATCTGACGAGGATTTTAGGGGGATTTTGGAGGCTGACCCATCCCAAACAGTTCGAGAGATAGCAGAAGAGCTAGGCCTTGGCAAATCCACTGTTGCAGATGGTCTGGAACGCATTGGGAAGGTGAAAAAACTCGACAATTGGGTGCCCCACAATCGGAGTGACCGGCAGGAATCGGCACGTCTCCGCGGTTCCTTCTGCATTGCTTTTGCGCAGCAGAAACGACCTGTTTTTGGGCCGAATTGTCACCTGTGATGAAAAATGGGTCATGTATGATAACAGGAGACGTTCCGGACAGTGGTTGGATTTCGACGAACCACCGAGGTAATTTTCAAAGCCGAACCCTCGACGAGAAAAAGATTTCCTGGGTCAGCGCGCTTGGTGGTCATCGCTGTGTGGTCCACTATAACTTTTTATCACCAGGCCAAACCATCACAGCAGAACCCTACTGTGAAGAAATCGACGAATTGTACCGAAAATTTTGTCAGATGCAGCCAACACTTATCAAAAGAAAGGGTCCGATTCCTTTGCCATGACAACGCCCCCGCCCACACGTTTCACAAATCACATCCATAAACTTGAACGAATTGGGGGTTGAAGTTCTACCTCAACCGCCATATTCTCCAGACCTTTCACCAACCGACTATCACCTTTTCAACATTTTCAGAACTCCCTTGCTGGAAAATACTTCATCAATCAGGACCAGGCAAAAAAGCCTTAGTGGATTTCGTGAATTTTCGACCACCCAGTTTTTACTTTGATGGGATTTCTCGACTGCTGTCACCAAAAGTGTGCTGATTCGAATGGTGCCTATTTCGATGAATCCGATGAGTATTAAAAAAGTACGATCGTTTAAAGTGAAACACCCAAAACGCTGAGAACTTTCTCGGACAACCTAATAGAATTACTGCGTCATCATCACTGGTTCGCTGCTCTTTCTTCCTGTCATGGAAAGAGTGCTTATTCAAGCGACTCTCCCCTCTTTTTTTGCGTGATAGCCTAGCCACTTAGTTTCCCTTAAAATCTACTGCAGTGTTGTTAAAAAACTGGATCTGCAAATAGTAACTTCTAGTGTTATCAGAAAATTTACAGGGACAGGTGGTCGATAAAGTGCTCCACAAATCAGACGACTTTCTTTCGCTAAGCGAAGACATATGAATGGGTCATGCAGAAACTGCACAACAGCAATGCTAACAGCCTCAACTGAAAGTGATAGGTGGGCTGATTGCGTGTTTGATAAGCTCCTGAGTGCGTGGTCGGGGGTTTCGTGTCAGAAATACCAGTAGAGGGTTGAGTTTTTGCCGTTGATCAGTGCCTTCTTCGGATGCACGGAACGTTCTTCTTATAAGCAATTTTCGCCGCAGTCTGGTAATACACAATCCATAAAGTTACGCTCTTCTTTCATGCCATTTTGCCACTGGAATAAATTCAGAACTGTTGCGATTTGTCAAGTCCTAGCAGATTCAATTTGCAGTGACATTTGAGAGAAGCGCGCTTGAAGGATGTCATGCCGGAGTATCCGTGTCGTCTTGTCGGTCACCGTCGTCGTCAAAGTCCTGAACCCATCTCATCTAGCTAATGGTTGTGCTTTCAGCCATTAAGAGTCACTGGTAATTCAGGAAAATGTAATCTCGGACTTCCGAGGACCATCATGAGCAGGGCACGTCACACGCTGAGGAATTCCCAGCGGTGGTGATTTCTGGAAGAGGTTCGTATTCGACCTGAGAACTTTTTTTCTGGTAGTTTTTCCTGTTTTACGAGCGCTATCCATAACACTAGGAGATTTCCAAAAGTCGGGGAGGGGCTTATTTGTCTCTCGCTTCGAGGACGGGGGAAGGGGGCGTGGGTCGTATGTGGCCAAGAGATTTCATTCAGTCCCAGGAAATTTGCGAGAAAATCCTCGGTTGTCGACTTTTCGCAGTTTTTCTCCTTTCTCGTTCTCGCAGCCAACTAACTAGAATCCTGTAGAACTCCCCCCCCCCCGTAAGTTGTCATTCTTCGCATAAATGCAGCGAGTTCTTTCGGGCCGTCGCACTATCCTGCTGAGATCGGTTAATTGCTACCGGACTTGTCCGTAAGCATCAAAACTATTTGTTGATAGAACTGTCCATTGCTGTCATTTACGAAGAAAAGTCCTTCATTTCAAAGATGAAATAGGCGGGGGGGGGGGAGGGCCAATAGAGAAGAACTTTAATAGGGCATCTTATTAAGAAGATTCCATTCGGGGAGGGGGGCACTCTAACGAGCCTTCTATTAAGGCTTAAAAAAGTGCGGGTAATAAAGAAAAAGCTTCTATCGTAGGTCGACGCACTTTTTTCAGTTGCACTATGCATTCTCTTCCCGTTTACTTCCCACTTTCAGCTTAAAGTGAAGATTTTTGAGGTGAGGTGGGTGTAGTAACACGGAGGACCCGCACACCTTTTTAATACTTTTTTATCGAGTGGCAATGGTGCCGGGAGACGCAGACTCACGATTGGCATGCAGCCCAGGGCAGCCCAGCCTTTCAGCCCTTTAGGAGCCAGTAGAATTCGATAAGCCTTTGTCTGAGAAGGAGAAAAAACTGGTCTGTTTCATCGCAGGCTGTCGCCCGCAAGAGCATTGGTACACGCCATGATCGCCTTGAAAGAGCCGCTACGATTCGCGAGGCAGGCGAAAAGTAGAGGCGTCTACCTCGTATTCAAAATATCATTATAAGAAATAAAGGGCGGCATTTTGGCACTGGGTGGGGACCAGTACCAAGCAAAGTTCCAGGCGCACCTTGTGAATTTGTAATTTTCGTGAAGCAAGCGGCCATGCCTTGCGATTGACCATTTATCGGCACCCGCAGGTTCGCTGAGGTGTCCGTCGCACCCCCCCCCACTCCAAATCCTCCCCTCCTGAGCCGAACACCACTCGTTGAAGGATGAGATTTCCGTTGTTGATGAATTTTTTGGTATGCGATACGCCTTCTACTCCCATTCGGAATCGTGATGGCTCTTCCAATGCGATGTGGATTATACAATGATCCGCGGGGACCAGCCGATGTACAAATCACTATTTTCATCCTTCCAGACAAATTTGGTACCAATTTACCGACCCCTGAGGTTGAAAGGCTTGGTTGCCCTAGGTCGCAGCCGATCGGGAGTTTGGTCTCCTGGACCATGTACTCGATAAAAAAAGTATAAAGTGCGGTCACGTTTTACTATACCACCTCCACCCTCGAATCTCATTACGGGAAAGTGGGAAGTGAAGGGAAAGAGGGTGCATAGTGCAACTGAAAAAAGTGGGTTGACCTACGCTGAAAGCTTTTTTATTCCTTTTTGTACTTTTCTTTTATGTGTCAATTGAAGCCTCGCTAGAATGCCCTCGCGTAATGAACCTTCTCGTTGAGTTGCCTTGTGAAAAGCTCCTTCCCATTAAACTCCTCTAGTATTTAAGCCTGAAAGACCGTCTTAGGGAGCACGACGACTGCGAGAACTCACAACAGACACAAGCTATGAGTTGGTTTCCATGAACATTGCTCGCATGGCATGAGTGTATTCCTAAGCCTTGTGGATTTGCCACTGACAATTCGCCATTTGTCTTGCGAGTTTTTCGGCTAGCCCTCTGTTCCTCGCTATTGGTGTTCGACAAGTTTTATTGTTAGAATGGTCGCGTCTCAGCTGGTTCAGCTAAGTGTTACTATGTAGTTTCCAAGGTTCACCTAGATCTCGAGCTTGTCTCAAGTTCTTTCGACGAACTCTGGCCCTTCCTTGGTGGGTAGTCTTCTATCAGTCTTGCTGGGATGGGGATCCTACCTCCTGTCCATTTATAGAGCGTTTTCCCTGATTAGGGTCTAGAAATTGCAAGAGTTCGTTGAACGTTTGCAGGTGTTGTCAGTGTCTTGCAAAAACGTTCTCGCGGTCCAAAGCGTCCAATACGTCCAAGTCCGTCCTCTCTCCCCATAAGTAATCCCCATCGTTCCCATTATTGACGACGTAATAAACGGGCCGGAATGATGGAGCAAAATGATATTCACCCCATCTTCGCCCACTTTGCTTGCTGTTAGTCCTCCTGTCTTGTTTGCCTCGCAACTCGAAGACCTCTTATGAGGGTTTCTGGAAATCCGAGATTTCTCAGTCTTAGCGCTTACTATTGAACTTCTAATGCTCAAGGCACTGCTTCATGTTTTCACGAACTTGTGTGTGGCTTCTCTGGGGCTTGTCTCATAAATGGCTCAGGTGTGGTTGAAGGGTGCCGCAAATTGTAAAGACGGTGGTCGTGCTAACTAACAGCGCTGGTGAAGTACGACAAAAGCCTATATAGGAGGCAGCGTTCACGATGCAGGGACACATGCTTAGGACCCGGGGAGGAAATCCCACTGGCGAATCCTATTCGGCCACGTGAAGGCCAGGGGAGTCCTATATGGCTGGGGGGATTTTCGTCTGGTAGCTGTTTTTTTGCTGTTTCGTGCGCGCTATCCAAAACTATGGGGACTCTCATTGAGGTGAGGTGGGGGTGGCTATTTGGCTCAACCGCTGTTGAAGAGGGCGGAGGGGGGGGGGAGGTTGTACCTGGGCCTTGAGAAAGTCTTATTTTTTCCATGCGCGAGAATTTTGTTCTCTGCTGTTGACTTTTCGCGGTTTTTTCCCGTTTCATCTTATGTTAGCTATGTACGAAGCATAATTATAGTTCCAGTCATAAATTTCACAAAATCCCGTCTTACCGACGTTTTTGAAAATGCCCCCATACAAAAAATGGTTGGAAATACCGGCTGTAACAATTGCATGCCAACTCCAACACTAACTGAAGAACAACATTTTTTCTTACATTTCTTTTGTTTGAAGGATGGTGCCACTGCTGACTATAGAGCAAAAACTGAAGGTTCACAACCGCATGCTTTTGCCCGCGCATTTTCCTTACAGTAATCTACTTCTGCATGCCATTAATGACTGTTTTTGCCCTTCTTCTGGCCTGGGTGGTGAAGTTCAAATCATTAAAAGGGATTTCATTATTGCGATAAGAATACTCAAGAGCTGTCGAACCTTCAAGAAATAATGTCGCTTTTTTTTTTTGGGGGGAAAAAAAATCAAGGCCACAGTCATCATGTTACTAAACATTTTGGTAGGGAACCCGCAGGCAGATATGGAATCAAGGAGCTATGGACGGCTCGCTACGTCTAGGCTTTTGATCGAGATAGAGATATGATGATCTTTTTGATCGGGTAATCTTGAGAAGAAGCGAGAGCCAACAGTCACTAGTAGTGCGTTTTCGAGATCCGGAAGTTCATCATCTGAGGCTTAATGTCTTGAAGGATTACTGTTTAAGGCGATCTTGAAAAGTGCGGCTGAATCCACCCCCATAGGAGGGATAGGAGGAAGGCACCGTTAATAGGAAACCATCGTGAAAACCGAATTGGCTTTGCTAGAAGATGTTGCCGAGCCGATTGGAGTAAGGATAGTTTTTAGCTGAGCGTGGTTCAGTCGTCACCAAACCGCTCTTTTGCCCTGGCCATCGAGTAGCCCCGACGTAAACCCAAATCGAGGATGTGAGGGGCTTGATGATGAGTATGATCCATGCGAACAATGCAGCAATTTCCTTGAGTTTGGGGAGTTAGTCATTGATGCTGGCACAATGTCCGGCCAAAAGCTTATTGAAAACACGCTTATGTCGAGCCTGCGGTAACGCGTATTTCCAAAACTTCGGATTGCGGAGAAGTCGGAGTTCCAATATAGAGGGGGGAACAAAAAAAAGTCAGCTTCGACCGAGTCCACATATCAGCAAAGTTTTCGAAACGATGCCGCAGACAAACAGGACGTTGGATACGTAGTACAATCTGCGGAACAGATAAACCAAGAAGGCTAGAACCTGGCTCTCAGGGCGCCATGCCACCTTCCGTGTACAAAAGTCATCTCGCAGTGGCAGCCCTGACGGGCGAGAAGACCTCTCAAAACTCATGTCAGCCTCCAAAGCAGCTGCGAAACTTCTAGTATGTGGAGTGCCACCCCATGCTACCTGGAGACCAGTACTCTCGATCTGGATGACCTCCAACATCGAGCAGCTCCGACAACGTCGCCACGGTCTAGGACATCATCTTCACCACAGTCGTCAAGGCGCGGGTTGATGGTATGGACCGGACGTACCTGGAAGACCAATATTTTCTTCGTGGACCCAGCGACTGAAGGTGACGCCGCTGGCGTGTACACTTGAGCAACTCGTGAAGAATATACTCACTCACTTATGTTCGTTCCGTTTCCTACCTCTGGAAAACTTTTGTAACTGCTACAGCATTGGTGCACCAGCAATGGAATCGAAGGGCGTTGGAGAAACTCTCGCCTACTTGGAATGGAAGGGGGCTGGGTACCTAAAGAAGATGGAATATCCAAGTAGGTCACCTGACCTGAATCCCTTCAATTACCCGGTTCGGGCGAGTTCAATAGGGTGGTCTACGGTGGCGGAGAAATCGACTATCTCGCTGATCTCAGGCACCACATCGCGGTCGCGTGCCAGAATCTCTCGATGGCACTCGATCCAGAAGCTGTCGGGCGGAGTGTCATGATAGTATGTTAATCAATGTCCTTCAATATGGTGTGAAATGGTCGCGATGAGAATTTGATAAATGTAATTTATAAGCGCCCTCAAAAGTCAATGAAGAGATTGTGACTCCTTCTATTTTCGGCTCTCCCTGTGATATTACTGAATCAAAAACTTGTTTGCACAGTTGTTGTTGGATTATTCGATTGGTTTAGTGGAACTATTATTTTGCTCCATTGTCATTTTAAAGAAGTTGAAGAAAAAAAAAGTTGTTCTTTCAAGTTAGCCTTCGGTGTTGGCGTGGATTTGGCATTGGTAATTACAACATTTTCTAATTGAGGGCATTTTTGAAAACGTCGTGCTAGACGGGATTTTGTGAGATTTATGGGTGGGACTATAATTATGCTTCGTTGTGTATATGCCAACCACGAACTCTCCTTCCTTTTTCCTTTCTTCTTCCTCTTTCCTTCTTTTCATCCTTTCTTTCTCTTCCCAATTCTGCTCTTTCAAATGCTAGGCAGAAATATGCAGAATGGCTTGGAGCCCTCTCAGCAGAGGAACATCCAGTTGACAGATGCCGTGTAACATGCCCCCCCCCGTCGAAAGCAGTTTTTTTTGCGAAAAACTGGAGTTTTGTTTGGAAAAGTTGTAGCAAGTTGGAAGAAGTCAGCAAGGATGTAGGTACCACATGTGGAAAAGGGGTCGTAATCAGCAAAAATTACACCCAGTGACAGCAAATGCCTTGGTTCAGACTTCGCAACGGTAGCGCGTCAGCGCACGTTGCGGTCACGCCGCTCCACTGCTTCCAAAAGATTGACCGCTCGAACTTCTTACCTACTTCACTTCATTAAACCTTATTCATAGTGATTTATGTTCTTGACTCCAGAGTGTTTCAATCTCATTGAGTGGGGGGAGTGCGTTAAGTCAAACGAGTTGTGGTTTGCAATCTAAGTGGGCTGAATATATCGAGGTAATAATGAGAAAATGGCGCGGGATATTGGATTGGCTTCGGAAAAAGCAACGAGGTTATCATCGACGTAAGCACTGATGATTGACCGTAACCTCATAAAACAAAAAGTAGAAAAGAGTCGCAAGAAAATGTGCGAGCAATTCCTCAGTTAAACCTCATAAATTCCTACTCTGTTGGCCTTTGCTAGCTTGCTTCATTCAGTTTTTTTCAGCTGAATATTGAGTTTAGCGCGCTTGCAGTTGTTGCGTGGGGATCTACAATTAGTTATGCATTTCGGGCTGAAACTATCTCTTGAGTCTCAGGTTTTTACTGCTCTAAACGACTAGTCGAGTGGGATCATCAGACGGAAGGGGTCATATTTGATTTCTGGGGAAGGACTTCGCGGCAATGTGAAAGGCTAAGGTTTTCAGAGGAGCTGGTGATCTTCGGAGATTTTTCACATTTTTAGAGTAGTATATGTATAATCCACCCTATTTCTCCACAGCGGTCAAGTTTTTTTAGGTCGGAATTGGGGATTAAAGGGAAGCGAGTGGGGTTGGTTTTTTAGGTGGAAGGAGTTATTTTAGGAAGCGTTATGGTGTTATGTGCATGCTGAGGAGTCGATTTTTCTCGTCGGCATTTTTCTCTTTTGAAGAATGACCTGGAGATCTGTAGTTTAACTGACGTAGTTCCATTTGGTGGTCTAAAGGTAGCCAGTATTGTAGCTGAGGCGTCTACATTGAAGTTCCCTTTTTTCTCAATTTTTGTCAACCCTACCTCACTGGATGAGCTTCAGGTTGGACGAAATAACGATAGCTAGTCTGAGGAAGGAGCGGACCATCTGTTTTATTTTTTGGAGTGTTGTCTATCTGCAATAATGTGTTTTTCTTCGTTGTGTGACTGGCCAAAGTGGTTGAAGGCCTTTAGAGGACCCCTTGTGCAAAACAAGGATCAACGTCTTCTGGTATAGAGCCACCTCACTTGAGATTGGTTGAGCCAGCCGGAAGCACCTTTCACCCCTTAGGCAAAAGTTTTTGTCTCATTAAGATCATTCCAGTTCAGCGAGGAGGCCTTTAAATGACGTTGTAAGGTTACTAGTACCAAGTCGGCTTTTCGAAACCGTTGCTCAAATAATGCTGCATTCTTTGGATAGGGTGCGTGCCGGTTGAGCTTACATTTTCTACGAAGAACCAAAAATAATTTTGAAGCACCTGCGTAGCCCAATGAACTTTGGAACCATTCGCGGTTCATTCAACGTTTCGAACTTAGAGGCACATTCCTTGATTACCCTACAGGTGAAACGCCTTCTTTGGATACCAGGGGCAGGTGCGCAGCCCACTCAGCTACTCAAAAAGCGTGGTAGTGACGCTAGAAGCCTGCGAGTAATCTTTAATCCCACCCCCTTTACATAGGAAACGCCCGAACGCACATCTTGGATGCACAATATTGCACTAAACTTCTGCCTCCACGGCGACTGCTGTGCGCTTCTACTTGTTGATCTGGTCTCTTGCGTTCAGTGTTGCGTTCTGTCCGAATATTCTTCCAATGCTCAAGAGCAACTCAGACAAGAAGGACCTTATTTAGCCCATTTTCGCCATTTTCTTTCGCTCCTCCCCTCACAGGCAAGTTACGAAGCACCTCCAGATTCACGTTCGAACCCACCTTACCGAACTGCTTACAATCTGGGATTGTGCCTTTGAAACCTCTCCATCCTCTCCATGGGGCTCTTCCTATCAGCAGCGAAAAACATGCCGAAGCAAATAAGAGGTATCATAGGTCCCGATCTAAATAAATTAAGCAACTGAAATCAGATTTTTTTTTCTCACTAGCCACAAAAGCGTTCGCTACGCCGTTGTTTACCACCTCTGATTGGAGTGTCTGATTTTAATCGAGATAAAGCCTTCAAAAACAGATGAACAAAAACATGGGGAAGAACGAAGTGCTACTTTCAAGAAGAATTTTCGAATTTCCGCAGTTTTTTCCTTTTCCCAAGCTCGAACTAGTTAGATTATTGCGTCTTTTGGGGTCGACAGGAGAAAGGTCAATAAATGGCCTTCTCGACTGAATCTGCGGGACAGGGCAGACCGTCGTGGAAATCACCATGGGAGTTGTATTCAGGGCACGTTGGGGAGATATCCAGTGGGAGGATCTCATTTGTTCGCTGAGGCGAGGGGGTCGTACTTGCTGCCTTTCCGCGAGATGTTTTCATTTGTTGACTTCTCTGGTTTTTTTCCGTTCTACAGGCGCTACATATTCCCATAATCCCCCTCCCCGCTAGAGTTGCAGAAAGTTACAGAGAATTAAGGAAGTGGAAAATGGCGAAGGGAGATCGTACCATAGGAGGAAAGAATAGTTGAGCAGGAGGTTGTAGGGCAGGGGGGAAAGGGCCTGAAAAATAGGATAGGTTGTGAACGTGGGCTTACCGAAGGACAAAAATTGAAAAGGGTTATACATTGTGGACGTTCTGCCATGGGAACAAATTTTGCAGAGTGGACCCCTCGAAGTTCCTTCCTCTGTTACCATCCTCTCCCCCGCCCCATCCGGAATCCATCCACCACATTCCTTGCTGTTTCCAAGTTCCTACCGCTTTTACGGATTTTTTTTTTAAAAAATCTCACTTTTTCCCAAAAGAACTGCCGTGGAGCGGGAAAGGGAGGGAGAACAGGGCGGATGATATGTGCATTCACACTTTTCTAGTAAAAGCAAATACGACCACCCTGCCTCCAGCGACAGTATACGGTACCTCCCTCCAGCGACAAAGTACAACCCCCATCCCTATTGGGAATCCCCAACGCACGGCGTGCCCCAGTTGTGAATATTTTTCAAAACGCAACGATGTGCCCCGCCCTGAGAGCCAAGGAATTCACCTTTGAGCGCAAAATCCGCCATTCCATTTGAAGGCAAATGGCACGATAAATCGACAAGGCCTGCGGTCGATACGCTTGGTACGAAAGAATATTTTGACAGGCGCTGCGTTGCGCCTTTTCCTACCAAGGGCACCTTTATAGCGCCTAACCAAGGTGCAACATGCCGACCCACACGCCCACCGCAACCGCCCGCCCACAAATGGCTGGACAGTCACATCGACGCTGGTACTCTTATCGCTTCATCTAAGGAGTGCAATTGATTCAAAGCGTTGTTGCATGCATATAGGAATAACATCTCTGCAGCCGTATCTATCAAAGTGGTTGTTGGTGCGATGCCAACAGAAGTCTCGTCCAAAAGGGTCGTCCAATGCTGAGAAGAACCAAGGCATTTTCCGCAGATTTTTGGCTATTCAACTTCACTTGTTCACCATTTTTCCACTATTTAGCGCCTTTGCTACTATTTTTGAGCGGAAACCAAAGTAACGTGCCTGATGCCTTTGAGCGTTCCAAGATTATTTTTCGATTTCGTTGTGCGTGATAACATTGCTGACTTCTCCTTTCCACCTTGTCGCAAGCGTTTTTTAATCCGGCCGTTAATTTATGAAGGGTCTCCTAGCGAGATGAGCAGTGTTGTTGTTGAATTGTTTGGTGTTTTTGCGTCGAATGGAGGGATTCCACTCCCTTTGATGACTTTATCCAGCTGCTTCAGTTGATTCGCTTCATATTTCACCCACAGGCGGAGTTTCGAATCCCAGTTTATTCATGTTCACCCCCTTTCAGGGAGGATCGGCTAGGCACTTCCTTTCTACCCAGTGCTAGAACATTTGGGTTAAATTTTGGTCTGATGCCCCGCTTTACTCTTGTTCGATTTATTTGTTTATGTGCTCAGACTGCACCTGCTCATCCATGTCATATATCACGTCACGAGCTACCATGAAATTTGCCCCCGTGATATATTAATCTCCCCGGGGGTTATTCTGTCCTGCTTTTTTATGGGCACTTTCTGCTGCCGAATGCTCGCTTCTACGTCAAGCAACTTCTGTTTCGATTATCTTTTGTTTGGACGCGGGGCATTTGTTATCGATGGACAATTTCTGCAAAATACGACCCCCCCCCCTCACTTC